TTTTTGGCAATGAGAACAAATTTTATAAACAATTGTAGAAAAGATTATCACTTTAATAGATAATTTTCATGTAAAACAAAGTCAAACGAACACAAAAAGATCCAAAATTTTAAAATTTTTCGGGTGAAAAATTCTATCAATCAAACACACTTAATTAACAATTTCCAGGAAAGCAAGTTCTAGACAATTATTTTCTCTGAAATTTCTTTCCACCTATTTTCCACCATTGCAATTAAACGGAGCCTTAGTGGGGAACAAATTACTAGCAATAGTAAGTTTATCCCTTCATATCACATAATATTGACTCTTCTAGAATCTCAAAACAATATTCATCGGAAATATTGATATGAATTAACTATTGCTTCTTTGGAAGCAATTAATTAAAATTGCAATTCTCCAGGATCAATGCAATATTTATTATTTGAATAACTGTTCAATCAAACAAAAGATATAGTTAATTCTCGAAAAAATGATAAACTACGATATAATCATATAAGAATCGATATCCACATGACATGAATTATACGTTTTCTTTCAAGGATAAACACAAAATTCATAAATTGCACATGATATATTCTTCAAAATATGTACTATTTCGACAGCACATTCTATTTTATTATTACTGTTTCAGAAGTAATATGTCAATATTCTTTTAGGATATTACAAATTATCATTTATCCTCTTCAGGAGCAATCAAATATTATTATAATAAATAATAAACTATATAAGAGTAAAATATTAATTTATGTTAGATCATATATAATTATGCTCTTTGAGAGCAAGTAGAATCTAACTAAAATATTAATGGAAACTATAATGTGCTGCTTTGGGATCAAATTATATTTTACTGTTGCTTCTTCAAGAGCAATAGATCAATATTCTTCTTAAATATTGAAAATTTTAATTTTATATTTTTTGGGAGCAAGTAATATTCTTCTAAAATATTTATATAACGTGGGTTGTTTTTCTTCGAGAATATCAACATAGTATTCATTTAGAATAAATATAATTTAAGTTATGCTTCTTCAAGAGTATTGATTCAATATTCTTTTGGAATATTGAAATTCTAATATCATGCTCTTCAAGAACAAATAATAATTCTTCTGAAATATTAATTATAATGTTGTTCTACATTAGGAGTAACAACAAAATATTTGTAATAAATAGATCTACGATTTATATTTTTTTGAAATATTAATAATTATATTGTGCTTCTTCAGGAGTAACAAAATATTCAAATATAATATATTCCTTTTTTTTTTATACTCAGGTGTCCACTTTCGGCGACTAATCATGGGGTCTACACCTTGGCACTTCAAGACGAAGAGCAGGTAAACCACGGGATGTACCCCAAACTGGCCAGGGTCCAAGAGCCCCCTCCACTGATCTGCCAAAGTGCCGAGCGAGTCAACACAGGTTGCAAATTGCCTTCCAAGAGAACACATGCCTTCCAGGATAAATCTTGCCTTCCAGGAGAGAGCCTGCCTTCCAAGAGCCCCACGAATCGAACTCGCAACCTCTGAATTGCCAGCAACTAAGAGCCTGTCCTTTGCCAGTTGAGATGTGCCCCGGGGGGCTAATATATTCCTTTTTAAGCAATACTAGAATATTCTTCAGGTATGTGGATTTAGATTATTTCATTTCGAAAATAATATACAATTTTCTTCTAGAATATTGAACAAAAAAAATTAAATTCAAACAATTATTTATCTAACATAAATTGGTATAATCAAACTGATATATCAGATCGAATAACTATATCGCTTTGTTATATAATTTAAAGTTAGAAGAATACTTACATTTTCATTGATCAGATTAAAATGGTTTCTTGTAAATTCAATTGGTTACAACTTCTTGTCTTTATTTGATTGGAGAAAAAAAATTCTATCTCGACTAATTAAAATTTGAAAGCAAAAGACATAAATTTTGCTAACTCAATTGGTTGGAACTTCGTGTTGATAACGTGTTATAAGTGGGAGAGACAAAGAGAAGAAAATAGAGAAAAGTCAATAAATTTATATGTATTATATTGAGAACCAATGCCTTATATTTATAGGAAACTATTAGGGATATAACGGTAATAATTTAGGGCAGGGGTACAATTGTCATTTTCTATTAAACTTCCCATTTAGAACATTTTTAAATTTATATGTGATTTTTAGTTATAATTATTTTTTTATTCGTAAGTCATTTTTTTTTCACTTGCATGTAAATTTTATAGTTATAAGTGATTTTTGTACTTATGAGTATTTTTTTACTTATAAGAAGCATTTTATACTTATAAGTGAGTTTTTATTTCATAAATGGTTNTTTTTTTTTTGGGAAATAAGCAGTATGTTTTACTTATAAGCAATTTTTATACAAAAATGAATATTTTATTTATAAGTAAATATTTTAGTCATAGGTAATTTTTTACTTATAAGATTTTGTTCAAAGTAGTATTTTTTACTCATAACTAATCTTTTTACCATTAAGTTAATTTTTTTAGTTATAAGTAGTTTTTACTTATAAGCAATATT